TTTTTTTTTTTTTGCTATTCTGTAATTGGATTAGCTCAATATCACGTATTAGCTATTCTTAATCTCAATATCGGGCTGCATGTTTATTACTGGACATAAATAGAGTCTGCATTTCTAGTACACTAAAGTTATCATTATCAACAGGAAAGAAAATCATAAATTCTATAGTGTATCATGATCATAGAACGGCATGAAAGTTCCATTATCAACAGGAAAGAAAATCACAGAACGGCATGATAGTTTCGCCTTTCGCACGTGATCAAAAGCAGGCCAAACAAATCGCCTTCAACATTCATGGATTGAAACAAAGCAAACGGAAGAATAATCAGACAGAGACATATTTAAAAACAAAAAAGTGCACAAGATTCCATACCATAGCTCAACTCTCAAGCATATCCACCAAAAAAAGCCACACAATTAAAATAAAATCCAATAAAAACGCAATGATATCAAACCTCAGGCGCGAGACGCTTGCAGTGACCACACCAGGGAGCATAGAAATCGACGAAAACATAATCAAAATTCGAAATAGCGGCGTCAAAATTGGAGTCATCGAGCTCCAGCACCTTTCCGTCCAACTTGAACTGACTTTCTGATGCGCCGATCGACGGTGCAGTCAAGAGTAAAGGCAACAAAAGAAGCAACCGGCGATCAAAACTTGAAGGTAAGGGGTAGATCGGTGGAGTAGAGGAGGCCATTATCGGTTGATTGAACTTGAAAAAAGGATCTTAGGGATTTATAAAACAATTATAATAATCGTTTTGTTTATATTAAAGCGATTCATGTTGACGATTCTATATTAAAAAGCGCTTGTTTATATTAAAAAGCGCTTTTTTCTCTTGGACCGTTTTATATGACGATTCTCGGCGTCAATAATACTTTTCCAAAGTTTGAGTATTTTGTTCATTGAAAAGATTACGTACGCTGCTAAAGTTCAAATTATTTCGAAAATATGATTTTCTAATGTGGAAAAATAAATCCCAGTGACTCCAAACATTTTCTACTAAATCCGAAAAAAAAAAAAAAAAACAAGGCAAAGAAGCTCACATTTGATATATAATAAAGGGAGATGTTATGGTCTCGTTACGGAATCATACTGTCGGAGTTTGTAATCGTTATATTAACTATCTCGACGGTTAATGATCCAACGGTCACAAACTCCGACGAAATGATTACGTAACGAGACTGTAGAATTTTCCTATAATAAAAGATATATTTCCTGAGCTAAAAAGTCATAGGCCTTGTTTGGTAATTAGCGGTTAGCGGTTAGCTGTTAGCGGATTGCATTAACTGTTTGACCAGCGGATTGTGTTAGCTGTTTTGACCCAGCTGATTATGTTAGCGGTTTGTAAATAGTGTTTGGTAAAAATTAGCTATTTTAATTAGCGGTTAACATGTAAAATTACTTTTAAGGACATCAACATACTTTATTACAAACTTATAATTAACTAGGAAATATAAATAATTTATATATTTAAATAATTATTGAATTGATTTAAAATATAATAAATATATAAATAATAATAAAATAAAAATATTTCTTCATCGAGTA